CAGTCCACAGGATTCTGAAATATGACTCTGGACAGACTGTCGCACGGACGGACACACGGACGGACAGACTCAGGAACTCACGAATGTTCAGGGACATGTATCCTAACATGTATGATCTATGTACTAAATTTGAATAAAAACTGACAAAGCATGTCCAAAATACAACATTTTCAAAAAACAAGATGGCTGCCAGTGGGCCATCTTTGATCCAATTGTGAAATAAATTGTCATGGACATGTATCCTAACATGTATAATCTATGTACCAAGTTTGCATGAAAACTGACAAAGCATGTCCAAAATACAACATTTTCAAAAAACAAGATGGCTGCCAGTCGGCCATTTTGAATTGAATCGCTAAACCACTGCATGTGCATATGTCCCACATAAAGTACTAGGCACATGCAAAGAATGAACAGAATTGTCCCAAGGGATTCTGAGATATGACTCCGGACGGATGCACAGATGCACGGACGGACGGAGACCGAATTATAAGTCCCCGTGTTGGGACTTCGTCCGAACGGGGACTAATAAAGTCAAAATAATAATTACATGTGTGTGCTCAAATATGTACTACCGTAAACATACAATTTCCGATTATATTCAGTGTATGGGATTAATGGCAATCGTTTCTGCTTCTCATTTGATAATTAAGTCAAATTTTATTTGCAAATTATTTTTGATAATATTGTGTTTGGATTCACTAAAGCTGATCCACATGCATCTGAGGGGATTCCCTAAAATACAGTTGTGTGTATTGAACTCATTGTGTTGCACATTTTCTATTTTGCAGGACCTGATTACTCAGTATTTAGATAAGCAAGCCCGGATTAAGTGCGACCGGAAAGTCATTGATCCAGCCTCCTTAAAATGGACACCACCAGTTGCCAGATAACTATTGCAGGTATTACTGGTTCTTACATCAGAGGGACCATTTTTCCTGAAACTTTTGTATATATAAAATTGTACGTTCGCGTATTCCAGATGCAGTATACAGCAATAGGCATCTATAAAGGGTCTTCAAATAAACCCAATAACGCTGCTGATTGGTACAGACACCATCACCTTCATAAACCTTATATTGACTTTTATTTCTGTAAATAACATTGCCTCGCTTGTCTCAACATCTTTGCAATTAATGGTTCTGCAATATTATTGATGTGAATAATGATGCGTTTCTTATGTGAACTGTACATGTGTATAGTGAGCAGTCGTTGTTTTATCTTGTGCTTGAGTTTAACTGAATCTTCTATCTCTTTGCATAGTTTGTTGACGGCCACAACAATAATAATCTGATGGATGGATCTTAAAATAATTAAAATAATCACAATTTTGTTTTTCACAATTTTGGTTCCAATTTGTAAAAAGAATTTAAATACCAAAAAGGGATTTTAGCTACTGAGCAGCATAATTCGTCAAGATCTGACACAGACTTCAGATTAGCATAATTACTTTGGTTTCATTTTATTTACAATTCGTATGACTAACTGGCTTTCAACTAAATATAATTGACATTACAACTTTACAGTAGACTTCACAATTGTATGAATTGCATTATGGGTGCATCATGAGTGCATCATGGGTAATGTAATATGAATGCCCGTCCATTGTTTACTACTGTAAAAGGGTTAATTATTCACTGGGTTTTAATTTTGCTTATTTCGCTGTCTGGAAAATGTGCTAAATTAAAACACTGAATATTGCCAGAGAGTATATTTTATTGTACAGTTATGAGTAGGCTTCTACCTTAATCCTTACCCAAAGAGTGAAGTAACATCAAAATTATATACAATCAAAATAAAGAAATATTGTGTGTTTTGATGATCAGAAATAACAATCTTATGGGATGGGATACCCACTCTTTGTTAAATAAAGGCAATCATTTGAAAGATTTTCCTGCAAGTGGCAGTGTATTGCACTATTGATGAATGATGAAAACTCTGGCTTTTAAGGTTGTTTGTTGAATATTGAAAAGTGATTGTGCTGTTCCTTACAATTTTACAGTATTCATTGTATCATAATGTTATAACACCACAAATTAACATTCATTTTACCAGAATGCACTCTGTAAGAATTGCCCATAATTACGTAAAGTATCTAAAACTGCCTCACTATCTGTGAAACACTTGTTACTACACTACTACCATTTCAGCATTTTTTTCTCAAATTGTACTTTTCACAGTCACATGTTTGTCAACCAAGTCATTTCCATATATTTCTTGTGCTACATGTAGTTGATATTCATGTTTTTTTTTATTTTGTACAAACAAATTTGGGAGTGTTTTAATGCAGAAATGTAAGATAGCATATTCAAGTTTTATTAAAAAAACTGAAAGACAGTTGTGTTATTGTATGTATTGTGTTATTTCATTTAACAAACCCACATATAGAGATTTACTTCCTATATATGGATACTTCTATACATGTTTTTATTTGTATTTCTCATGGATATATTGTTTTGATTTTATTCTGCAATTACCTTTCCCATGATTTTTATAATTTTAATATTTCAATGGCAGTTCAATCCAACCAGCCAATCAATGAGCATGGTGGACAAGATGCCATTTGACAATGTTCCAATTTTATTTCGTTGACCAAAAGAAACTTTGTTTCATTTCGAATTGATATAATTACTTATACCCTTCCACAACTGAAAATTGGAATACCATTGTTAGTTCAACACTGTTTGGCGGTTTTAATAAATTTAACACAGTGTATGTCACTCGCCAAATCATATGAAATGACAATCAACTTTCTTGCAGAAAGTATCAAGGGTAAAACAACTTAGTCTGATGTACCAATATTCTTCACGTACTATCTGACACCGAATTCTGTCATTTTTGCCTCTGAATAGTTAAAAAAAGCAATGTTTATGGTAACAAAATTGGTCATCAGGTTAATCCCTTGGACACATTGGTATGGCATATATACTACTGTATTCACCAATGTCTATTAAAGCTTTCAGATGTTGTATAGGTTGCTATAATGAAATACAGTCGCAGTATTGAACTCGGGTTCCATCCGTTCGTACCATATTCACCAATGTCTATTATTGAACTTGGGTTCCATTCATTCGTGCCTGTGGAACCATTTCTCAGTGTCTTTCAAAATTGTATTTCATGTATTGTGCCATACATGTATACATCACCGTTTGTATTTAACAAACCAAATATGTTTAAGTACGTAGCTAGTTTGGACTTGTTGCATTTTTCGAGAATTTCTTTCAATATGGCCAGCTGACACCAATCGATTGGTCCCCATAAGTCTAACAAGTATAGTACGCATATATTTTATCATCCACAACTGTTGACAAAAAACTACAAGACTATTTGCCACAGCTTTTAAGTACAATCTGGCAATGGGCCATTCCAGTTTATATCTGCACCCCCCCTGTTGATGTGGTCGGACTTCCAGCACTGTATGATGGGGGAAAATATCCTGGAATTCCAACTGTATATGAAGAAACAGAATCTGGAAATCCAGACGAGTATGGAAAAAAAATCTTGGAAATCCAGGCAGTTATGGCTTCTAAAATAAATTATGGCCTAGTTTATCTCGCCACATACCGGTTGATGAGGTTGGATTTTCAACAGTATGACTAAAAAAAACTTGGAATTCTGACTGTATATGGTAATAAAATTGGGCCAGTATGAAATAGTTATTACTGGAATTAATTAAGGATGGTGGCACGAATGAGCTCATCAACACCGTGAATCAGGACTAGTTTGGATTTCCATTATCAAATATAAGATTTTGAACTTGGTAAATTAGCATATGATGAGAGTTATATTTGGAAATCCTACTCTGTATGGTGGCACAATGGAACTCATCAACACCATAAGTAGGAACTATAGTTTTGGATTTTCATTACTGTATGGTGAATGGTGATTTGGAAATACAACTTTGTATGACTTATACACCCATGGAAATTATACCCTGTATGAAGTAAACATACAAGCTCATCAACAGGGGGGTGCAGATATAAACTGGAATGGCCCAATTGCGAAGATGCCATTCCAAAATGCATGTCTCTAGATTAAAGCATTTTTTTTTTAAAAAATGTCATGAAATTTGACGCACAACGTTTTAAGTTATCCCGCCAACAGGCACACACGCAAAACAGCGCTGTCAAAACATAACATTCTTGACGGAGTTAATAATTGCCAATATGCCATATATATGGTTAGCTTAGTTCTGGGCATGTTTCTAATAGATATAATTGCATACGACGTCACACATAGCATAATAATTACGAGGATTGGTCCACTTCACTTTTTTATACCGTCACAATTATACAACTTTCTTCTGCAACTCCTCTATCATTTGATACTATAATACCTCCAGGGTTACATCGTTAATTATCTTCATATTTATTTCCCCCGCATTACGCAATGTATTAATTCAAGCTATTCCCCTTCTTCAGAATCAATCAATAAGTAGAGTGTTATTTCGTGTGTGTAATCAAAGGTTATAATTTCAAAATATAAAGTCAAGATTAGTAAACAGACAAAATGAGTACCGAATCATCAATAATAAGACAGATATATACCTGTAGGGTAAACACACCTACAGTTCTCATGCGTCATTCTAACTTACTGGTTGATTTTTTCCTTCCTTTGATTTTTCGTCGCAATTGATCACCTTATTACTTACTCTACACGTAGAGTAGTTGTAGTACTAGTAAATAAATGAATGGATAAATAAATAAACGCTTTACGATAGACGTAATTATTCACGTTGCTGGGAATAATACTAATCCAGTAACAAGTTAGAATAATTGCTCTGTACACCATCTCCTATATGTTAATATTCACGTTTCTTGAAATATTACTAAAACACAATGTAACGTAAACGGTCTGTACGATTTAACCCGATATATACAGTATTCACTTTGTTATCAACAAATCAATTAACGATGTTTCAAACATCCCATGTTTAATAGTTTCTTTGTTTTCAACATTGCCCGTTTATAAGGAAAGACATATTAGTTTGTTTTTGCATGACCCAACTGGAAAATAACCTTCCACCTACTATTTAAAACTGAAAATGTTTTGAGAAGCAGCCTGGATTGGAACGAACAGTCTCCAAATTGACTGAATGTGATGCATGGTCAATATACTACACGAGTTAAGCATGGGATTTCAGTCGAAAGCAACATATGTAGGTATGACACGTATATGAATCAGCCGCGATTTCTACAACTTATTGACACATCGCTCTTCTATAAAGAGCTACCTAAAACACACACGCTGTGATGACACAGACCTCGCAATGGGGCTCCAGAAATCACCTAAAACTCTCGGGTAGTTAACGTCATGTTTGGTCGGAGCTCGGCCGTTTACTGGAACCTCATCGCAGCCATCCTTTCACTATTAATAGACAGTTCATTTCCCCAAATTTTAGAATTGGGGATCACAATAAAAAAAAATATCTGTGAAACTGGTGAGCTTGACACATAAAATGATTAAAATAATTATTTGCAAATTCATCGTTGTGTGTTTCAATCAATTGTTATCTCAGCATTACCTAATTGCAATCCAGACATGGTTGATATGGTTACGCAAAAACACGTTGCATTGATGAAGAGAATAAATGATTGGAAAGACCCAATAAAGAACAACAGTTTCTTTGTTGTCGGAAATGAAGGACGTCAACATAGTAACGTAACGCTTACATTTTGGAAAATAATGGATATGAATATAACAAGCGTTGTTCGTACGCCTTAAGGCACAATATGCAGATTATAAAAAGTATCGAAGGCAAAGAAATTAATATTGGTAATTACTAAAACGTATGTTGATATTAAAAAAACACATAAATAGGCGTGTTTATAAAATATTCATGGGGATAATTAATTCATACTATGTTACAACTCACACACGTTAAGAAAACTTCGATGATTATAAATCGCAGTAATCTTCACCAGTACTCAGCGATCGACCTAGTACACATACCCACAAAATCTTAGAGGTTTCAATTATATCAATATCAATGTTAAATTATGCTATTCCACTTCATAGTCTAATCATAAAAAAAAATGTGAAAACATTGAAAGCTCACAATTTGTGCAATAAATATAACGGCATAATACACACAAAATAAACTGTTCTTGTTGTATGTGTAGAAAAAACGTAATCGAGGGAAAATACCGAAGTATTATGTGATTGAATGCAAGCAACACTGTCGTAAAATAATACATTTATTTTAAAACGCGCCCTGTTTTTCCTATCTGAAACAGTTGAATAAATGTTAACGATCTTTTCATTAGAATTTCTTTTCTATTTCGGGCTGGCAATGACCACCGTCACTGTACCCTGTGTGTCACATTATTAATGGTTTATGTGTGAATGTTAAACACAAGTCTGGAGGTAAACTTATCATTTCGTACACTTTATATGGAAGAGATATGTATTTTGTGTATACATGAATAATTCATTATATATTTTACGTTAATTATTTTTCTCTTCGTCTTTCAACTTGATTTCTTGAGCTATGTCTAACCCTCCATGTGCAAATCCTAAAGCCATACACACTTACTGAGCCAGCTAGGCTGTATCGCATAATTTCATGTAGACGTGTGGTTCAAAGTTTCTATTATTTAAAAAATATGAGACGATATGAACTGTAACGTAATTCAAAATATTGGCGTCATAAACAAAACAATTAAAATCGTGAAATATAAGAACGGGGATCTGAACTGCTGACAAAGTTATAATCAGCACTATAAAAAACGACTATTACAAATTTTCATTTAGAATAATACTATTATTACAGTAGTTGAAAATTCGAATCAAATATTTCCAAATCGATGAGCTGTGTGATCTAGTAGACGAGCTATGCAGGCAATTGGCAACATGTAGCGCGGACGTTTACTAAAACTTCAAACAGGCCATTAACTACTATTGGCGTCCTGGTAGCTACATTTTAACTATGAGAATAACAGCTCGTTTTCCCTTCCAAAAAAATGAAATCACCTTGAGATATATAATACATTTCGTAATGAATCGCCATCTCTTAAAAGAAGAAAACAAAATAAATGTGAAGCAGCTGGAGAGCTTGACACTTGAATGATTATTACAACTGCGCATTCATTATTATATGTTTCAGACAATTGCTAATTTACTAATTGCAATCCAGACATGGTTGCCCTTGTTGCAGAAAGATGTTGCACTAATAAAAATAATAATAAATTTGAACGACTCAATAAACAGTTACATTGTTGTCGGAAATGAAGGACATATTACGTAACATAATGTTTACATATGGGATAATGACTATAAGTATAACAAGCGATGTTTGCACGCTTTAGGGCACAACATTTTAATTATAAAAAGTCAAAGTTGAACAGATCAACATGTAATCGACATATTAATAATAGGTATCAAAAGCGAAAAAATAATTTTGGTAATTACTATCTCATAGTGATTACAAAAAACGGATTCATGGGGGGGGGGGGAATTACGCTTTGTCAAAAACTCAGTCGATGATTATAAATGTTTACCTGCACTATGCCATTAACTGCGAACACATACCCAACAAATCTGAAGAGGGTTTCGAACTCTATATGACTATCAGTTTTACATTATGCCATTCCCCTTTATAATTCAATCAAAAAAAAATGTAAAAAAAATATAAGTTTGACAAACCGTGGTGCCCTATCCTAATGCAATAAACATAACGGCACAAGTTCAAATAAATGTTATTGGATGTTATTCTGTCAATATTCTTGCAGTCATGGTTTGTTTATTCATATACTAATCACGATTCATCCCATTCATTGTGTGATTACGTTCGACCACTTGAACATCACCACGACACTAGACAACAACGCCAGCAACATCTTGACAGAGCTAACACAACGTCGGGCCAGTTTTATCTTATTTTACAGGAACACAAAATTCTGGAAAAATATTTAATTATTATTATTATTATTACACAAATACACAAACACAGAGCAAGACGATGCTATGCGACTAACTGTGAGCAAATACATATTTGATTTTTTTTCTAAACGATGTAAATTTGAAATACACAAGTTTTGAAATGTGTTTCTTGAGCAATAAAACAACTGTTTGATTATCAAGTTACGTACATAATGAATTGGCTTCTATTTGCGAACGCGTAAACTGTTTTTTTTTTTGAGATGTGATATGTTTGGTCATGGGAAAGGATAACAATCAACCAAATCAAAAAGCAAAACATGTATGAAGAAAGTGCAAACGTGTGTAGTATTCAGACATGCGAGAAACCCGACACACATTTACAAGTTTCCAGGGAACTTACTCTTTTTTATATCAGTTCGTACATGGAATAGTTTCTGTAAAGGTAAAACTCACTAAGCGACGTGGCCAAAAGATTATCTTTGTTAATTGGAAATAAATCGGCGCAAAAATTGTTGTAATAATTACTAAATACATCGTAAGAAATGGTTAATTTAGTGTCACCATGTAAGAGAGGGTCAACAAAACTCATATTTGTGTTACAACATAGGTTGTATTTGCGAGAATGTCATGAAAAACTTCAATTTGAAGATTTAAAAGTCAATACATGTGAATTTATATTACTTGAGTATTTGTTCTTTCCCTGTCGCCATAGTGACACAATCACAGCTGAATACCTACAAGCCAATATTATAACCATTTGAAGTAATTGATTGCCACGCCCATCGAAACGTCTTTGTTTATTGTGACATAAGAAGGTTGTTTTCAAACTAATTTACAAATACAACATTATATAAAGTCAAAACACAGTGCAGTCATGGATATAGTCTCGGCAAGACCGCACTCGCGTTGGTTTCATCTGCGTTAGCTCTGGGCTCGACTCCGACGAATTTGTTTAAAAGTGTTTATGACTGGTACAATACTCGTACATCAGAAATTGTTCGCGATAATTTCAACAAATTCAGCAGAGAGAAAGGTAATTCTGATATTTCTCAATATCTCCTTACAGCTTAATCAACTGAACAGCTGCTTGATACTGACTTCACAGTAACAAATTCTACTGAAATATATCTCGATATTATCGCAATGAAATCAACTTAAAAGCTTCTTGATATCCCTTCCATGCAGTAGCGAATTCGACTGAAGCACTTCTCGATGTCATTGCAACGGATTCAACTGGACGGCTTTTTGATACCACTGTTGCAGTAGCGAATTCCACAGAAACATTTCTCGATGTCATTGCAACTAAACAACACACGTATGTATTTGTTGCAAGCTAAATTGAAATATTTCTACGTATCATTGTAACCCAATCAATTGAACAGCACGTGTATACCATTGCTGCGATTGATTGCAGTCGATATTATTGAAATGAATTCAAGAGAAACGTTTTCCAATACGGTAACCATGGAAAACAACTCAACTGAATCATTTATCGATATCATTGCAACGGAATCAAGTGATCAGCTTATCGACAATATTCTTTCAGTGTCAAATACAACTACAGCAGCTTTCGATAATATCGCGAGTCCAATGTTTTTCGATACCATTGCAAACAACTCAAATGAAACATATCCCGGTATCAATGCAACGAATACCACTGAAGTTGCCCTCGATATCGTTGCTGTGAGCTCATATGAAATATTTCTGGATATCATATCGGCGTGCATCTATATCGCCGTGTTCATAGTTGGTACAGCTGGTAATATTCTGGTTTGTAATATCGTCTATTCTAACAAGAAACTAAGAACTGCACTAAACATCCAGCTAGTATCACTGGCAAGTGCAGATTTGATATTTTGCATTATTATTCCATTGGTACGCGTTATTTCAATGTTGATAAGCGTTCTGCACGGGGAATTCATTGTTGATGGTCTGCTTTGTGCTTTTCAGATGTTTGTTTTTTATAGTTCAGGTATCACAACAATTGTTACTTTGGGAAGTATAAGTGTTATCAGAGCAATAGCTATACGAAATAAGTGTTCAAATAACACCAAAAAAATGATTATTATAGGTTCGATTGTAGCTAGCTATGCCATAGGTGTAGGGTATGGTATACTGAAGGTTTCTGCTGGCCATGACAACACTTGCAATCCAAAACCAACTAGTCAAAAAGTGTTGAATATTACAAGATTTGGTATATCTATTGTATTTACAATGTTTTTTACACTTGTGATATCTTATTCCTACATCTACCACGTGACTGCAAAAAATGAGAAGGCTCTCAAAAAAACAATGGACGTAGGGAGCTGTTGTGTACAAGGACGACGTAAGCCAAGGAACATTACTGCATTTAGAATAGCCGTAATTATAATAAGTATATTTACAATATCATATATATCGATTGCAGTACACGCTTTTCTTGTAGTTAATGATGTCATGCTTAGAAACGAACATGAAAGTAACTTCACTGTATCGTTAGCGAGCTTGGGTAGCATGTTAAATCCGATTGTGTACTCACTGACTTCCAGTCAGTTTAAGAAATACCTACCATGTCAGAGAAAAGTTGCACCATTATTGGAATAACACTAAAACACAATATATATGTTGTATATTTTGTTAGACTAATAATTATGGCTCCTCATTTATATGACACGAATTTATTTACTTCTCACGAATATGTCACGCCTGTCCACGTATTACTAGCTAGGATATAATACTGATTATGACAAACTCTATTGTTGATATTCCACGTCATGGAGGGGTCGCGTTAGCTTGGTTGTTAACACGTCAAAAACGTAAATACTAATGTCATTACGTTCTAGGTAAGCATCATAATAAGATTCGCTAATATTTATATAGACGTAAGACACAGGAGGAATACAAAACGGTAAAATTATCAAAATTCTATGTCACAATGTTCACATATATATATTGTGTCTAATTCCGAAATACTCACATGTGAAAAAGAAAAACATCAGACAGCAAATACAAAGTCGGAACTGGATTTTGCAATTGGGTAATAATTCGGTTATAATTATGTTACGTGGTTTATTTGCGTTTGTGTGTGTGTGTGTGTGCGCGCGTGTGTGTGTGCGTGTGTGTGTGTGTGTGTGTGTATGAATTCGTCATGACTACCTGTTACTTACGCATTTAGTGTGACACGTCAATACATTGTCTATGCGTTTCGAGAACATTAAGAAATATTTCCTTGCGTTAATCAAAAATGAGTACATCGTTGACGTACACATTGGATCTAACGCGACCTCTGTTTGACATCGTTTTAATATTCATTTGAGTAAATCCGTGTAATAACAGACATGTGTATTCAATGAAAGTAAAGACAACTATGTTATGAATTTTTATTAAAATATATTTCTAATGAATCACATGTTTTTTATCAATATTTCCAAATTTGATTTCAAAGAATAGTGAATACAAAAGCTATCATCTTTTTAATTAATTTATTTATTTTATTGCTGGTTTGTTCGTTTGTGAGATTCGGTCGGTCTGTTGATCCATTTTACCATAACCTTTCTGGTCCGTACATTAATTCGTTCACTGGTTGGTTTCGATAAACGATCGATTCCTTTTAAGAAAAAAAAGTATTTGTATCTTGTTCCGTGAAAGTCCTGGCGACACGATGAGCAACTTGGCAAGCAGAAAATGCACAGTATGATATTTGCGTGGACTCAGCGAATCGTATCAGTGCTATCCTCTGGGCGGCCATCCGGGCAATTTCTAACGCCTGGCAACCCTCGCGGTGAAAACAAAGACCAAAAATACGCAGAAAACGGTACTTTGGGATGTTTGTTGAGACTCCCCTGAACAGTGTAACAAGAGTAGCCCTACGTGTGTAACATATATAAATTTGGCTGTTCAGGATTACTTCAAAGTTGAGTTTGAGTTGTTTTCTCGAGTTTTCACCGGCTCCACAGGCGTTCCACAGCAGTGCGCACAAAGCCCATAGAAATACGTGGTACAGTGGTGCGCGTCGTAGCAACGTAGAACGTCCGTGACGTAGCTCCGCCCCCGAGGATACGGTTGTTAGCAAACTATACACAACGAGAAGCCAGTAAACGACAAGAAGTACAAGTTTTAATACAACAGTAGACACCATAAAAACATCTACGTTACATACGACATTTGTCAATTATAACAATTAGCACTACTTTCGTTATTGCGTCAAAGATAGGAACATTTGTTTCTGATTTGATTGATTGATTGATTGATTGATTAGTTGAAGCCATTATGTAACTTATTCAACTACAACCGTTGGTATCACCGAGGATGTACCCCGACGTGTCATGCAACAAACGATAACTAGAAACCGTAATAAACAATATATTGCCATGGGAACAACACCGGTAATTGTTACAGCCAGTGCTCAGTAATGCTACGAATTTACTTGTTGAACAATATTGACGTCAATATATATCGACGACAATCGCCAAGACAAACAGTCACCATAACTGTCATCACCCAGTGCATATGGTGACTATTTCGGATTTGCTCGGAAGACATCGGTAGGAAGAAACAACAACAACAACAACAACAACAACAACAACAACAACAAAAAGGAGACATGTTGGTGTATGTCACTTTCGAACGGCCGACAATGTTTCTGCCAGATATTACTAATCTGAGAGAAAGATGAGACGAGAGCATAGAGCGAAGATAGCGGTTTCAAGGAAATAAGATCCGCACGCTGCACAGGACAAGGATGCTTAGTAAATAGAGCTGAATATGAGAGCGTGCTTGGGGTAAGAATGATAACAGAATTACATTCATATCTCCTCCGATTATATCATTTTTTAATGATATTTTCGACATCATATTTGTTCGGAATCACGATGAGCAACATATCACTTAAGCAACAATAAATTAAAAATGAAAAATGAGCTTGGTTTGACATAAGCGGTTCGCCGCCAGAGGGCGCTAATATTAAAAAAAGTTGTAATAGATGCAAAGTTAGTATTCTCCGTTTTCATGCTTTTCTTTTTTGTTTGAAACACGTCGACTCCGATGTGTGCGATGTTAGACATAATTATCATTGTTATTTAGTGTTTCAGAAAAAGCGGTGGTGTTTGACCAGATTTAAACGAGAAGTCCGCCTTTCCCAGAACCTATTGCGAGTACCATGTCTAATTTCATTTCTTTATATTTACATGTTAACAATTGATTATTAATTAAAGTTCGTATCATGTCCGAGCATCAACAACTTCTATACATTTTTGTATCATACATAATGAATATAAAAATATTTCTTTAGATCCATTAATTTTTACATTAAATAGGAATGCATCTATACACTTCATCATTTTTCGTATATGACTTGATCTGATTTCAATCAAACTTTGTCCGATGGTTTGCAGGTGCATGGCATTTGTTGTGAAAGTCCGAATCAATATGGCACAACTATCATTCAATATGCAATGTATGTTTATTTGCATTCAATAACTAAAACGCGAACGATTTGCCGTTTTCCCATTTAAATACAGCCAACTGGCGGTCACTTTGTTGCTAGGCCCTTATTATCTTCTCTCCTAAGAAATGACCATTATGTTAGCATTATGACATTACATCATGGGCCTCATATACCTACAATTGTTTTGTAATTTGATACAATTGGCTTACTGGCAACCACATTAGGTATGCTAATCATTACATCATCAACACTTTATCGATATATAATCTATCTAGTCATTCTTAATTGTAATAGTACCGAGTTTTTAACTATATCATTTTGTGAGGGTAATAATTATTTACGAAATACGGAATATGTTATGTGGTAAATAATATAGTATATATTGTTGTATCATTTTCAGACTCCATGTACACTTGTCACTTCCTCAATGAGTCTTCGATTAAAAACATCGTGATACAGAAAAAAGTGTGCGATGCTCGACGCAGTAACCTGTTCTTGTAAACTTGAATTAGGCGAAATTCACTCTCATTGTTTGAGACCTTCAACCTCACATCTCACACGGGAATCTACAAATTCATTCAGCCTCTGAATTCTTCGGACGTTACCATTCCGCAGGAAAAACTACATAGTCGCCGGTGTCACGTCGAGTGCATCACGTCGTTTCTATACCATCTTACTCGTGGAGTCTGCAAACCTGACTGAAGATGCTTCGACTCACTCCCCCGAAACTTGGATCTACAGTCCTCTGGGAAATTGAACCCGTTGTACGCTTTTATTTCGACGAAATGTGAGAACGACGAAAACTTCGAATAACTCATTACACGCACCTTTTGTCATCTTTCACAAAACAAATAGTTTTTATGTTAATATATTCTTCATTAAGCACTATATGAGAAATTATCTCAATCGGTTCTAAAATTAACAAAACAAAAATCAATGATTAATTGTTCGATTTATTGTTCGGTTCATTTAAATGTGCATTTTGTGTTATTGACACATAAACCATGTTGGGTGTGATAATATATCTTCTCTTTCAATTTTAAATAGTATATGTAACTTCAAATAAAAATTGCTGTTATTGTAACTGACTCGCACAGTGCATGACAATTACATTGTGATTGTGATTATTATATTTATTTTCTCACTATAGGCTCGTGGACCAGAAATACACAACATTAAGTTAGCAAAACGCAGGTTAATTATTCTGAAAATGATGTTATGGTCGATATGCTTTCTGTCCGTATTTTTTTAAATATAGATAGGCATATTTGGAAGTTATATAGGGTGGGTGAGTGAGTAGAATTCATCAGTTCAAGAAATGTACTTCGATATAGATCCGATCGATAATACTTTGGGATATATTTTTTTTTTCTGAAAAGCTGGACAAATTCAATTTTGCAGTGTATTTTCAGAGGGTTGTGTTTAGACGTTATATAAGCTTAGCTTTAAATACCCCCTCCCAATTCCTTTCGCTAGTGGTTAAAAACAATGTTACGTTATCTTACTTTGAGTAATGCTAGTATGAATCTTGTTTCATTCCCTATCCCCTCGTTAAGCCACACTTCCGAATAGCAATACGGAAACAAAGGAAATTCCAGGTTATATGCCAAAAATATTTGGAAATTTGGAAAAAGTAACGATTCTCATTCATTTTAGAAATACGAATTTATTATTTAAAGATTATGAAGACGAGAACTTAAGCATTGCCCTAGTTTATCTACTTTGAGAACTAATTCAAATGTGTAGAGTACGCTATCGACGTATATTTGCATCATGGAACAACAACATTGCCAGCTACGTTGCTGACTATTATTTTATACAATCTCCATTTATGACGAAAATCCGTGTCACATTAATATGCGCAAATTGTGGGAAACACTTGACAAAAAGTCTTGATTGAAACTAGAAAAATCTTCGCGAAAAGGACGCACTGAAAATTATTGAAATTTGAAAATATTTCCCGCATTTTGACAATAAAACAATAAATCATTAAAATATCTCAGACAAAGCCTTCAATGGAGCTATATAAATGACTTTATTAATTAATAAATATTAATTCACGAAAGCCCACCCCACAATGTGGCACTTCCAACCCTATGGTATAAATGGTACGCCCAGTCTAGACTCTCTGTACAGCGCAAAACAAGAACACGCTTTA